CCCCCCCCCCCCCCCCCCCCCCCCCCGGGATGGGGGAGAAAATCGGGAAAAGAAGCAAAACCTGTGGGTTGAGATAAGAACGGTTTAATAGAACAGAAAAGAAGAAACTAATAATGATAACACTAATAAAATGACAACAGCAATAATGAAAGGATTGGAATGTACAAATGATGCGCAGTGCAATTGCTCACCACCCACCCACCGACACCCAGCGGCGATTCCCCGCCCCCCCTTCCCAGTTCCTATACTAAATGGGACATCACATGGTATGGAATACCCCGTTGGCCACTTTGGATCAGGTGCCCTGGGGGTGTCCTGTGCCAACTTCTTGTGCCCCTCCAGCTTTCTCGCTGGCTGGGCTTGAGAAGCTGAAAAATCCTTGACTTTAGTCTAAACCCTACTTAGCAACAACTGAAAACATCAGTGTTACCAACATTCCTCGCATACTGAACTCAAAACATAGCACTGTACCAGCTACTAGGAAGACAGTTAACTCTATCCCAGCTGGAACCAGGACAGTGGTCTGACTCTTTCATGTGGCAAGACATCTCCTTACGCTTGCTGCTGCCACAAAGCCCGCTCCTCGAGTAGCTTGCATGGAAGGAAGCTGCAAACCCTCTGCTCAACATCAGTCCATGCTGCCCTGAAGCCTACCTGGACTGCCACCTCCTGCCATGATTCCAAACCCGCCCGAAGGAAGGGAGCCAGCTGTCGCCCGTCTGAGAGGTATGGTCAAAATTGGCACCAACGCGCTCCGCTGGGAGCTTTCTCAGCTTCTGCTTCTCCTCTAAACAAATATTTTGTTCAGCATAAGTTTTTCAGTCAAATGGCTTTTGATTCTTTACTGTGGTAAAGTGAATGTAAGGTTAACTGAAATGTATACAAGCTGCTCACTTTGTTTGAGAAATTCCTCGTACGAAGGTCCAATTTGTTGTTTACTTCCACCCTCTTCCTCTGTTAGCCATGGGGGTTTTGCTCCTAGAAGTCATGGGGAAAATGTGTTTAGCCACTGAAGTTATCCTAAGCTCAAGATGGGGGAAAAGCATCCCCTCTGCCGCCATCCCAGCAGCTCGCCCTACTGCAGTAAGCAGTGAAGCAAAAGTAAACTTTGGGCTTTGTGAGAACCGAAAGCTGGCTTGCCTCGGCTAAGGCCATGGCAGATCACACCCCAAACCACGCACTCCACACAGCAGCAGTGCCAGCAGAGTTTTCACAATACAGAAGTGTTTTCTCCTCCTGTAGTATCTCAAATATTAGCAAAAGAGTGAGCACCTCCTGGTTATGCTCTGACTGCTTCAAAATTGCTTTACGTTATCCCTGTCCCACTTGCAAGCCAAGAGTTTTCAGTAAGGCAGCAGCCAACCGAGTCACGAAGCAGGTGTGATTACCTGTGTGAACATTTCCTTTCCCTTCTGTTTCCTGTTAACAGAAACATAAAACACTAATGAGAAACTGATGCTTTTAAGAGTCTCTAAATTGAACGGTATCGGGTGCATTCCTTTCCAGAATCGAGTTCTGTTACCGAAAGACAGAGGGAGGCTCTTCTCTCCTTTAAGGAGCATTTTGTTTTTGAAGAGCACTTAAAAGAACGTTTGCTTAACGAAACACAAGTTAACACCGGATGACCGAAACTCTCGGCTAGTTGCTCACCTGAATCTGCAAAGCTGCCTTTTTTCGCAAGGGAGATTGCAACCCCTTGTTTTGCATTGTAACATGTGCTGTACGTAACTTGCAGTTGAATTTAAGTCACGCTCCTCAGCAAGTCACCCCTACCTGGTGGCTGATGAAGGTCAAAGCCTGGCCTGATTCTATCCAGTTTAAGTCAGGTCCCATTTGCATCCCACTCGGGCCAGGCTGCTCTGCACCATGAGAGAAGTCCCTGGAATAGAGAGGCTGAGAGGTGAGTGACAGTCCAAGCTGGGCAGGCAGCAAGTGTCCAGAGGTTTCTGGAGCAGAGTTTGCAGTTGTGTTTGGAGGAGTTTGCAGTAAGACGGAAAAGGAGAAAAGTTCTTGGGGCACAATAATGTTAAACGTTTGTATGTTATCGCCGTGCTCGCTCTTTATGGCTGTTAGTGCTTACCTACAAGCATGTGGACGGGGGAGTAATCTTTCTGCGGCTGCAGTGCTTACTATAGTCTAGATAAAAGTTCGCGGTGGATCTGAGCAAGCGTAAGATCCTGGGCATGAGAGCATCAGCTCCGGCAGCAGCAGGCGAGCAAGGCTGTGGCTGTGGCATGGTCCGGCGTTTTGAGCGGGGTGCAGCTTAGCAGCAATTTAAGGGAAAAAAAAGAAAAAAAATGGTTCTCACCTTTCGGGTCCTGCTGGGGGGCTGCAGACCGAAGGTCCCACGCAAAGCTCTGGCTCCGTTTGAAGCTGAGTACGATTCAGGAAAAAGGGACAGTGTTTCTGGTATCGAGCAGAGCCCCCCCCCGCAACCCCCTCCACCCCGCACCCCGAGCGCACCCGGTGCCAGTGGGAGTGCGCAGCCCCGTCCCCGCTCCCCGCCGGGGCGCAGCCAGGGCAGGATACGGCTCACCGACCTGGAGGGCAGCCTGCACCGTCTCCCGCTGCCTGCGCTCAGCTTCGCGGATGCCGGCCGCCATCTGCGGGGGGGGAGCGGGTGAGGCCGGGGCCGC